AGGTAACTTTAATAATAATGATAATACCTAATGATGTACATAATGAAAGGATTTTTAATAATTTATTCATGACTAAACAATCCTTAAAATTTTAATCTTTGATTTCTGCATTTATTATTATTAAACTGTTTATCATTAGAATATTCTTCAATGTTCTGCAATCTGCAACAACAACAACCCTGAAAAAACAAAAATAATAATAATAATAGTAATAATAATCATTTCGAATTCAATTTTTCATTATAAAAGATATTATTCGATGATTTCGATTCATATTTTAATTAAGATTTTTTGCAACTGAACGAATAATCATTCGAACCTTTTGTTTGAACCTTTTCAAAAAACAAATAATCTAATATATATGAAATGAAAAAATAAAGACATTAAAATAAAATTTAATTTTACACTCTAACAAATATCCATGATTGAATTAAATTTTATAGTTCGATAATTTTTAAATAAAATCAATTTCATACACTTTCATGCACGTGAAAAATCCCTTTTAAGTTTTTTTTTTTTTTTTTCAAGAATGTGTAATTGTTTATATTATAATATTAAAAAAATGCCATTGTTCTCTTTTATTTAAAAAAAAAAGAATTTTATGTAAAATGATATTACTTCATTATTAATTTTAAAATTGTTTCCTGTAACTAATTGATCGATTGATTATTTTTAAAAATTATTCAGGACTTATTGGAAAATAAAATGCATCACAAATGATTTAAACTTTATGACGATTCCAAATTTCACTTAAAATTTCAATTGTAAAATATTATAACTATATTTTAAATACTTACCCTAAAGTTTTAGCTGTTTCATACCCCTATTCGAATTAAAAATAGAGAAATATTTGCAAATTTCATTAAAAAAATATATCTTATGAGTATGAAGCTTTAATATTTTATTTATCACTCTCGAACTTATCGAAACATTTGAACATTTTAAAACATTGATTAAGTTTATTTAATGAAGTTTCAGTAAGACAAAAAAATTACATTAATTTTATAAAGATAAGCATAAAATAATTTTTCCTTCAAAAAACTATTGTAATAACTGAAAAAATAAATACAATAAAATTAACTGACTGTAAAACATATTTAAAAATAGACAAGTAACAATAACTCTTACTTACATCGACAAAATTTTTTTAACCATATATGTAAATTAACATATATTATCACTTTTATTTAAATATATATATATATTCTTTGAGGCACAGGTAATTAAAAATATGATAAAATTCTTTTCTTTTTTTTTTTTTTTTCCTTGAGTCGTTTTTAATTTAACAACATTTCAAAATTTTTAAATTTAATTTATATGTAAAATATATATATATATAACTACTTAAATTATATAATTTATTAATTTTAATAAATATAACAAATATCAATAAATATATGTATATTTTGGAAGAACAAGTTGCGAATATAAATATAAAAATAATACTAAATTCTAGTAAAAATAAAAAAAAAAAAAAACTAATAAATTTTTATTGAAATTTCTAAATAGTTGTTAAATAAATAAATAAATAAAATCTACTATTCTAAGAGTGACATGCTGTGGAGGTATTATACCGCTCTGGAATTTCTCCCTTATATCTAATCAAAAATTGTCAGCTGATAATCATCGATTAAATATTTTGATTACGAATTACAAGTGTTTTAATTTGTAAAGAAAATAAAAAAATATATATTTTTATTTATTTATTTTTTTTTAAATTTTGTAAGTTTTTTTTTTTTTTTTAACAAGTCTATTAAAATTTTTTCTAGTTTTTATTTTATATAAATAATTAATGGTCAATTTTTTTACCTTGCAAAAGATTAATTAATGTCAGATAAGTTTTTTAACCATTTTAGGTTAAATATTTTGACATTTTGATCATCTTTCATTGAATCAAAAAACCTTCACGTAATTAATCCTAATGTTTTTTTATACTCCTTTATTTACAATATTAAAAATTATTAACATTCAGTTGAAAAAAATTCGCTTTATATTAACTAAATAACGCGATTTATATTATCATTATTGTATGAATCATTGTATGTTACCTTTACCTACTTATATAATATAAATTTTTGTTTTGAAAAAATCGATTATTTGATTTTTAAAAGAACGCATCATTTGCAGTTATTATAAAATATGGATTACAATTATTCATCAATTGATTCTTCATCGAAAAATGATTTTCAAAAGTTATCACAAACAGTTGCAACCAATATACAAAAAATCACACAAAATGGTAAGCACATCACACACAAATGTTTTATTTTTTTTTTTTAATAAAATATTTAAACTGATAAAATCATTTATTATTAGTTTCATCCATTCAAAAAATGACAAATCAATTGGGGACAACCCAAGAAACACCACAAATGGAACACCAGTTGTAAGTAGTTTTATTTTCACGAATTTAAAAAGGATTAAAGTTAATATGGCGTTTGTGGATTTCATATTTTATTCTAATTCAGGTTAGAAATTCAAACATACACTCAACAACTTGTGAAAGACACATCAATAAACATAGAAGATTTAAAAAAAATACCCAATTTGCCCACTCACACGGAAGAGTACAAACAGAGAAAAGTACAGAAAGAAAGATTGTTGGATAGGTTTACTGATGCATTAAATCAATTTCAAAAAGTTCAATTTAACACATTGCAAAAAAGAAAAGAAATATACCAACAAAAACAGGGGGATTCAAATCATGAATCTCGTTTGCCTTTGCCAAATTCTGGAAAATACACTGATCACTTAATCGAATTACAAGATCAAAGTAGTAATCATATGCAAACGCAACAAATGATGCAAGAAGAAATTAATTTACAAGCATTAGAGAGACAGGCTAATTCCATAAAAGAATTAGAGGTATTATTTCTTCTTCTTCTTCTTCTTGCATAAATGTGCAATCTTTTTTTTTGTTTAAACAAATTAAAAATTTTTAATTTTTACAGAGCAACATCATGGATGTTAATCAAATATTTAAAAAATTAGGTCACTTAGTTCACGAACAGGGAGAAATGGTTGATAGTATCGAAGCGAATGTCGAAATGGCATCGACGAGAGTTAATGAAGCTAGTAAAGAAATAAGCAGAGCAAGCGAATTAAAGGTATGTTGTACCTGACTTTTTCTTATTTTTTGATCACAATTTAAATGTGTAATTGTTTTTTTTTTTTTTTTTTTTTTACATCAGGGAAAAATAAGAAGAAAAAAATTATGTTTTTTAATATCTCTCATAATTATTCTCATTATAATCATATTAATTATAATCGTTGAAACTCATTAAAATTACATACATACATATATAATTGAAAAACATTTCTATTTAACGTTTAAAATATTAACTGCTAATTTTTATTATTATTTTTGTTCGAAAACAAACAAAGCTTTAGATGATTACTAATAATAATTATTATTATTATTATTCTTATTTAAATATATACATATATATATATATTAAAAATATATTTTTAGACAAATTAATAAATAATAAAATGATTTATAAAAAATTTTTTTATTTGTGTGTAATAAAAGAAAAAGATGAAAATAATTAATTTATCGAAATATAATATATATATTAATATTATTATATATATATATATATATGAAAGCAAACTCTGTCTCGAAATGTATATAATTATTATTATTATTTTTTTGTAAAATTTTAAAAAAAGATGGGGGGGGAAAACAAAACAAGGAAGGGGGGGTGGAGAAGAGGGATTGTTAATTTTTATTTTATTTGCCATAAATAATATGTCAATATATATATATATATATATTTTTTTGTTAACATTATTATTATTATTATTATGATTAATAACTTTTCTTACTTATTTTTACTGTTGTTTCTTTTTATTTAGTTCAGGTAGTCATTGCACTTGTTAATGAAAAGAAAATAATAATAATAATAAGGAAAATAATTTTCAAGAGTGGCATTAACATTTTTTTTTTTTTTTTATTAGTTATTTATTATAAATTTATTATTATTATTATTATGGTCACTGCATTTTATTATTATTATGGTCACTGCATTTTATTATTATTATGGTCACTGCATTTTATTATTATTATGGTCACTGCATTTTATTATTATTTTTATGGTTTATTATTATTATTATTTATTTATTTATTTAATACAATTTCCGTTTGGGGTTTAAAAAAAAAAAAAACATCTTGATAATATTATTATTATTATTATGTTCGATCATTTTATTTGAATTAAATTTTCAACCGTGCGTGAGTTAATAATTACATAATTATTATTATTATTAATAACCGAAAATACACTTAATGTATATATATATTATCGATTATTATTATTATTATTATTTAAACGATATGTATATTAAAAATATATTTTATAAAAAATTAAATTATTGTTAATTTCCTAATAATAATAATAATAATAATAAATAGAATTAATAATAAAAAAAAAAAAAAAAAATTTATTTATACATAAAGAAATAATAATTATTAAAAAATTAATATGAAGATGATAATAATAATAATAATAATATTTTATAAAATAAATTATCGAAATGTAAAATAATAATAATAATAATAATGTATATATTATTAATTTTTTTTTTATTTTCGTTTCGTGATTATTAATTCGTTTACGTTTAAATAAATAAATAAATAAATTTTCTATTGATAAATTTTTTATTAATAATTTTTATTTAAATTTATCAATAATTTTAATAAATAAATAAATAAAAGGGAATTACGTGTTTGAAATAAAAATATTCGGCACAATAAATATATACATAAATAAATTAAATACGATTTATTTATTTTAAAAAAATAAATATTTTTTATGTATCATGTAATTTATGGTTTAAATTAATAATTTTGTACATAATTTATTATTAATAATAATAATAATCTATAATTTAATAGTAATATTTTTTTTTCGGTCGTCGATGTTGATGAGGGAGGGAGGGAGAAGAGAGTGGGAGGAGCTGACGGCTGGGGATGAGGCGATGACGTCAAATTTTATTTTTATTACGAAATGCTTTTAGTTGTTTTTTCTAAAATTATTTACAATGGAAAATAAAATATATGTATATATTTGAAATTTATTGATTGATGATTCAAATAATATTTATTTATTTATTTTTGTTAACAAAGGAAATTGAATTTGCATGTATATTGAATTAATTGAGTAGGCGTTGGAAAAAAATGATGGATTACCTTGTCAACCGGATTTACTCTTGGGGGGAGGGGAGGGGGGGGAAATTTCACAATGGGAAATCTTTTTTGTTATAAACAAACAAAAAAAATTTGTAATATCATCGGCACGTAATTTTAAAATGGAAATTTTCTAAAAAATTAATAATAATAATAATAAAATTATTAAAGTCGTAGTTTTAATATAATTTAATGAAAATGATACAAAATAAAAAAAAATTTTCAATTGATTAATTATTTATTTTATTTAATAATAATAATATTGATTTACATAAATTTAAAAAGAAATACAATATTTAAAAATTTTTTTTTTAATAATAATAATAAAAAAAGTTAAAAACAAAAAGAAAAAATTTTATGTTAAAAAAATTATTTTTGTCGTCATTGTGCTAGGAAAAATGATTGGAAATGTGTGTATTTTTTTTAAATAAAATTTATGCGTAGACAATAGGAGCACTATAAGCATAAGCAGCTGGAATTGTATATTGTGGATAAGCATTATAAGCCACTGGAACATGATAAGAACTGTAAGCGACAGCAGGTGCAGCACTGTAGGCAAGAAGTGTTGTCGGCTTAGCCACAGGTTTTGGCTCTGGATATGGTGATGGTGCACCGAAAGCCATGGCTATTATAGCCATCACTGTTAAAATCTAAATAAAAAATGATTTAAATATTTATTTACATGCACACACACACACACTACAATAACAACAACTTACAATAAATAAATACATAAAATTTACTTACAATTTTAAACATGTCGTTATCAAATTGTTTTCCCAAAAGAAAATGATGTCGTACCTTAAAATCAATTCTTTATATATATACCTTTGTGTGTGCGAATGAATCGAGCTTTTAGGTGGAGTCATAATATGTTTTTTTAAACTCAAACTTTTCGGTTTTTTATTATTATAATATCTCTTTTTCATCACATTAACTATTCTTAACTTATGATACTAAAAGTTTAATAATATATATATATATATCCATCATTATAATAAATGATTATTTATTTAAAGTGCCAATTGAAATATTTTTTCATGTTTTCAATGTTAATCAAACAAATGCAATAATAAATTCAATACTGATTATAATATTTAAATGATTTAAGTAAATTATTTGTTAACATTAAGGCACTTTTATAAATAAATTATTAAATGAAATTGATCATATAAATTATTCGATTACAAATTTTAATATTTTTAATTCGTGTAAAATTTTTTCAATTTTTTTTGTTAGTCGTTATGTCATTAGCCTCAAGTTTTATGTTTTGTTTTTTTTTAAAATTTAATTTAAATAATAATAATGTTTAATTATTCATATTTGACTTATTGAACCTATCAGCCATTTATAGTATTCTTTTTAGTAAAAATTTTTTGTTTTGTTATGAAAACAATCCTTGAAAATTATAACTATTGATTTTTATGTCGTGTCATTAATTTAAGTTGAGCTTTTTTTTTGTGTGTGTGTGTGTGTTGTTGTGTGTGTGTGTGTGTGTGTGGGGGGGTGTATTGTTGAATATCAATTGAAACTTACAAAAAAGCTGACATTAACCCTTGATAAGGTCAATAAAAATGATCTAATTCATTTTCAAGGTTATAATCGCCACTCATTCATCATGAAGTTGTCTTTATTTTATTTATTTTATTTATCTATTTATGTAATTGTTTCTTCTAATGTTATTTTCAACCTGGAAATTTATAAAAATCAATGTTTGTAAAAATTCATAAGCTTTTAAAATTGCAAAAATTTACCAATTTTTTTTTGTTTGTCTTTCTCAAGTTTTGTTGTTTCTTCATAAATGAATATTTTGCCATGAGTTGTTTATTTACAAATTATATCAGATATGATTTAAAATACTTAAAAGAAATTATTTTTTATTTATTAAAAATTATATAATGTACATCCTTTTTAAAAATATTGTCGCGGAAATACATTGACTTTTTGAAAAACTTTTTCGCGCCATTTTTAAATTTATAAAACATGGCGGCCTAATTTTTTTTTGAGCATTATCTTAATACGTAATTCGCGTTTTTTTTTTTTGTTTTCAACGGTTTTTAAAAGTTAAAATATAAAGTTTCTAATAAATTTATATGTTAAAAATATTTAAATAAGGAGTTAAAAAATATTTTTAATATCAGACATTTTTTTTTCAATTTAATCATGATTTTAATAATACAATTAATTTCAAAAGAAATTAATAATTTACTTGATTGAAGTAAGCAATCCATTAACAAATAATTTTGTTTTTTTTTTTTTTTTTAAAGTTACATTATTTTGTATATTTAATATTAAAAATAGAATAAAATAAATTTTTAAAAAAAATTTTGACAAATATTTTGTGAAAATTAAAACGAAGATAATTTTTTTTTAAGAGTTAAGTTGGCAACGTGTCGACGTGTTCAAGATGGCTCAATTTGTATAATTTTTTAAATTGCTTGCAGTTTAAATTAAAAATTTACATTATGTCCATTTCAACTAGGGTTCTTCGAAAATTTACAGAAACCTCATTAATACATAATCGTGGAGATGATGATAGTGATGTTGACGATCCTCCATTTTCTGACAGAGCTAATAAAAAGCAATTGCATGTGAATCGTTTTGATTTGGTAAGATAATCATATTCATTTAAAAAAAAAAAATTTTTTTTTTACTGATTTGTTTTTTTTTTCGGGATTGATTTAGTTAGTTTTTCCTTGTTTAAAAACGTAACATTCTTATATTATTTAATGATTATAACTTTAAAAACATTATTCATTAATTAAAAGGTGTTATAAATAAAAGTTAAATACCTTA